ATATATATATATATATATATATATATAAATTCCAGATAGCAAACCTTGGTTTTCCTTTTATATAAGGGACATCATTTTGCTATGCCATCATATTTAATGGCACTTGAGCATCCACAGATTTTGTTATCCATGGGGGAGGACCCTGGAACCAAACCCCAGCGGATAACAAGGACCCGCTGTATCACTGTTTTGTGGATTTTGGATGTTTTTGTACTACTACTTTTTAGGGTCTAGCAGTTGGGACTAGTAGTGAGACCTAGGCCATTAACCCAGAATTCATAAACGCAAAATGGTGGGATGAATCATTCTCAGCATTGTGTTTTAGTAGCAGAGCTGTGCGTTTGCCATGTTTGTAAGGTTAAAGAGACAGGCGTGTCTCCAGACACCATTCTCATGATCCCTTGCAGATGGCTGAGCCAGCCAGAGATGATGGGAGTTGCAGTCCAATAACAGCCACATAATGTCCCCATCGGCTGTCATCTGCACAAAGACATTAGTGGAGTTCTAACCGCCAATTGCTTGTAAAGACTCAAAATGGCATCTTTTAATGCTGATTTATTGTGTTTGTAGCGGTTGGAGCTGGTGGACACGATCCACGTCCGTGGCTGCATCCATGCGGTCGGCTTGTGGATGAAAGACAACTTTGAAGCTACTTTAGGAATTGTGTGCTCCCTGCTGCTCCCTCAGGTACGTAAATACTCCCGCTTTACAATAGTTATTTGGAGGTTTGCATGTTTCTTCTTCCTCAAACAATGGCGGAGTTTACATATCAATCTGGTGCATTTGATGTCTTCCAAAGGAAGCAACTGCTGGGGATGCTCTAGCTGGATTTGCTGCATTGAGCAGAGGGTCGGACTCTGACCTATGGAGCTCTTTCCAATCATTTTTCTATGATCCTAGAAGTACTGAATCATGTACCATTTTTTTTCTTTGCCGCTGTTCAAAAGTGACTTGTGATGGATCCTCTGTTAGCACTGAATGTGTCATATTCCATTTCATTCCAGTCCTGTCACCGATTTTTCCAGACTGTTTCACATCTCACAAACTGCTCTCTCTCTTCATCTTTCGGGAGCTGAGACAAAAAAAAAAAACCTCAGCAAGCTCACATAAATATTGAGAACAGTCTGTGAATGTGTTTCCTTGTCTTATCCAATGAAATACAAAATCCACAAAACAATGATACCTTTATGGGGCCAAATAAAATGAACAAAATACACATCATGCAGAGGGCCAGCATGGTGTAATGGTTTGAGCATTGGACTAGGACCCTGGGAGACCAAGGTTTGAACCCTGGCTCGGCCATAGAAATCCACTGGGTAAACATGGGCAAGACATACTCTCTCAACCTCAGAGAAGTGCTGATTATTTGCTAGGTGCCGTTCCTATCCTATTTCATATCCTTATTATTTTCAGGGCTGTAAGCTGCCTGGGGCAATATCTGGAATGCTGGTCTAGAAATGCATTGACATAAATAGGATGTGATGGTGGCCACCAGCTAAGTTGGCCTTTTAAGAGTTTCAGCATGGAGTTTCCATGTCCTTTCTGTCTCAGCTAATAATCACAGACGGACAGCTCCATCCTCTAGGAATTTGTCTCTAAGATAAATTCTTGTGTTTAGCAGAGGACTGGCTGCAATCTGCAAAGCCCTGTGAAATGTGGGTCCAGGTGATCTCAAAGACTGCCGTTCCTCCATGAAAGGTGGACTAGACTGTGAAATAAGCTAGAGGAATCTCTCTTCTCAGTACCACCTCCCCAATAGATGTGTGGTTGGGATGCAGGAGATGGCCTTCTTGGTGGCTGTTCCCACATTATGGAACTATATGCAGAAACCCTTAGACTGGCTTCCTCCATGTTGTCTCTCTCCCATTTCTTTGACAGTGGAAGACGCTACCTCAAAGTGTGGTGGAGTCTCTGTTTTTAAAATGGAGGCTGGACAGCCATCTATTGGGAGTGCTTGGATTGTGTCTTCATGCATGGTAGAATGGGATTGGACTGGATAGCCCCTGGTGTCCCTTCCAACTTATGATACTATGGTCCTAGACCAGTAGAGCTCTAAGGGACTCTAGCACTAAAACCTTATAGGTCATTCCTGAAATTGCCCCATTGACACCTCCAGTAAGCTTCCCTACTTAGGCTTTTTAGATCTGATTTAAAGGAAGAGTCATGCAGAGAAGGAGAGCTCAGTGTTCAGGGTCAGTGTTCACCCTTGCAAAGAGTCAAGCAACTCTCCTCCTCCTGTTCCTGTTGTAGCAAAAATTGGGGTGTTCTACAACATCATTCCTTTGGTCCAAAAAGGGATTGTTGTTGATGCCACTGCTGGAAATAATGGCTGACCATCTGGAAAACCAAGAGAAATTAGGAAACCCTCCCTCAACCCTGGCAGCTAGTGGCTTCCATATTAGTTAGATGGTAAATCTGTTTGAAACGTGCCAAGATCCATTGATGAAACCAGTTCAGCACCTTGGGTAGCTCCTTTGAGGACCAGGAGTTGCTCCTTCACAAATTCAGCACCTCGGACAGGCCCATGAATGTTCAGACCCCAAAGTAGATTCACTGTCTCCACTGATATGGACATTACCACTGTAACCAAATCACTTTCCAATCTCTGGAGGCGACTCTCTGAAATCCAGAGAAAGTTGCTAAGTGACAGAATGAGAGGTACTTAGCTAGCATATCCATCACTGGCACAATGCGTTTTAAAATGAGGAAATGAATACTTTAAGGACCTCATAAATCTGAAAACTGCCTATTGAGCAAACATAAGTACATTATTCACACAAAGTGGAGGGGAATAGTGATGTTTTGCAGATTTGTAGAGATCTAAGCTTTTCTCTTTGAAATGTTAACATATTTGTGTTAAGTACAGGGTCAGTGTTAATAATGTCTGCTGCATGAGGCATGGCCTGCACAATTTTAGAAAAATGAATATATTCTAGATGGTAAATATTATGCAATAATATTTTTTTATATAAAAAAGGAAACTAGCTTTGGATCTTTCCATATAACTAATTTTGTTACAAAGCACACTGCACTGCAACTGTTTAATGTTAACTACAGAAGAAAGTGAGCATTAAATAAAACACATTTATCTGTGTTTTATGCAAACATATACAAAATCAGTCTGACAGATGAGAAATAATTATCTTTTTAAACCTTTTACAAACATCTTTGGTTCAGGTCTGCAGATGCAAAGGCAGATTTTACCTTAAAGGTGTGCAGGATTCCCTTTGTTTCAGTGTCATTTGCAGTTGGATGAAAGAAAACCCCTAGTACCTTTAGTTTAGTTGATAATCACTTACAATTATTCACTTGAAACACCATTAATTGATTTTCAAAAGGCATCCTTATTCATTAGGCAACTGCTTTTTAAACTCCTGACATTATTTTTAGTATGAGTGCTGTCAAAAAACCACAGGTGGCAGGTTGTTGTCTTAAAAGAGGCAATTGCCTTGTCTTTCATACCAAAGGGAAAGGAAAGCCTCTTCTCAGATGGCACCAGCTTTAAAGCATCCTCTGAAGGCAAACAAGAGTCCTTTTTCTTTTCCTGAGACATCCTTTATTGAATTCAAATACATAGCATGTTAGTCTGGAAAATCACTATGCAAAGGGATCTTGTAGCACCTTTGAGACAGAAAGAAAGAAAGAAAGAAAGAAAGAAAGAAAGAAAGAAAGAAAGAAAGAAGCTGGGAGCATGAGCTTTTGTAGACCTGAACCTACTTCCTCAGATGCATACATTATTGACCTAAAGTAAGAGATATGAGGCCAGGATCCTGCCTGCTTTTAACAAAGTGTAAGTATATTCCATTGTAGTTATGTTGGATTGCATAATGCCATCACTGTGCAATAACACCAAGTTCTTGAGTCTCTTTAAATATTTATATGGCTTTCAAATAATCTGGATTTGATTTCAGCACTTTTGTAAACTCTCCATTATGAAAATGTCATCATCACTGTGTGCCTTCAAGTTCTTTTTGACTTATGATGACCCCAAGGCAAACCTATCATGGTTTTTTCTTGGCAAGATTTGTTCAGAGCGGGGTTGCTTTTGCCTCTGCCTCCATCTGAGGCTGAGAGAGTGTGACTTGCCCAAAGTCAGCCAATGGGTTTCCATGCCAGAGTGAGGATTCAAACCCTGGTCTCCAGAGTCATAGTCTAGTGTTCAAACCACTACACCATACTATGAAAATGTATCCTACCCTTTTTCAGGGGTAAATTATTGAATCAGTCTACATACTCCATCTATTAGTTAATATTAATTTATGAGGGTCCCTTTTCCTGATAGCATACTCTCCAAAGTGTGTTTGTTACCAATTTGTTATCTGCTAATTGTTCAGCCGTTCTCTTGACTCCTGTATATTCCTTTCTACATAATAGACTCTTAAATATTAAATAGAGTAAGTGTAATCTAATTGACGAGGCATTTAAAAACAGCCACGTTTCTAGTTTACAAGGCCGTTTAAAGGACTGATTAGTAGCAAACAACATCATTAACATTATTTCTTTGCAACAAAGCCAAGATGAGACAGAAATTATATAGACTGGGTGTAATAAATATTGCTCCCGCCTCTTGATTATTTTCATTTTCTCCTTGATCTCCATTTGACTAAATCTCATTTTCAGGGGAGTCTCTCCCCAAATGGCAGCCCTTTAGAAATCACACGGGGCTAAATTAAGCCACCGGATGACAGAACATTAATTGGTTGCTGGCAGAAGACATATTTCTGAAGCAGTCCCAAGATTAATGACGAGAGTCGTAATTTTTGAGGAGAGCGGAAGGTAAGCAGATATCTGTAATTGCTATTACAGTCTGCCCTCCTTATTCACAGATTCTGCATCCATGGATTCAAATGTCCATGGCTTGAAAATAATTCCCCCAATCCAAAAAGCAAACCTTGATTTTGCAATTTTACCAGCATGGTGTAGTGGCTTGAGCATTGGACTAGGACTTTGGAGACCAGGGTTCAAATCCCTGCTTGGCCATGTACACCATGTACTGGGTTAATCTTAGACAAGTCACGCTTTCTCAGCCTCAAGGGAAGGCAACGGCAAACCTTCTCTGAACAAATCTTGCCAAGAAAAACCCTTCGGATTGCCATCAGTTGGAAATGACTTTAAGTCACACAACAACAAGAAGAAGAAGACAATATTCTACTACACCATTGTATATAATGGGTCTTGCACATCCATGGGTTTTGGCATCACTGGGGGTCCTGGAACCAAACCCCAGCAGACACCAAGGGCCCACCGTACTGCGTCACATTTTAGGACACAATGGTGAATCTGCAAGCAGAAATCCACATCCAAGTGTCTTTTATGTCCCATCTTTCCAAGAATTACTGGATATGCAAGAGCCAAACTCTGAAGATCTTTGTGTTTAGGAATCAGGACTCGGAAGAAGATTCTGAGCTTCAAAAGAAACAGCTTGTCCAAGATAGCTGCTGAAATCTCCTGGACCATGCATCTTTAAAGGAAGAGAAGACCTGATCTCTTTTCTGTGTGGCCACCCTACTCCCCATAGTTATTGAAAGTTTTTTAAAAATAATATAAGATGAGGATGGAGGCCAAATCCAGTTGCTAATCCCAACTAGAGAAGACCTATTAGGTCAA